CGTTTCACTGTGGCCCATTAGGGGGTCCTCAAATCTGTCCCGCCAGTGCAGCAGCCCTTCTTTGGCTCTCTCGCCGAGAGGAACTCCAGAGGTTCCTTCTCTGTCCTCCGTGCCCCCCCCCCCACCACAACCACCACCATGATCTCTTGCAGATTATTTCACTGGACATGCATCTTGAAAAAAATGTGCACGAATGATTGCATTCGTTCTGCGAGAGCAATGCTGTGTCGTGTGTAAATAGACAAAAGCCAGTGGTGATCTGCTGCTCGAATATGAATTTGAGGAGGCGCACTTCTGTTTATAGTCTTGATCCAGTGGCGGAAATCCCACACTATTTATAGGACAAACGCTGTTAACTTTAACACAAAATAGTGCTCATTTAAATCGACCCCGGAAGGAATGATGTGCTCAATTCGTAATTTAAACTCGCCACGTGATGATTGCGAGTCGCACGCTCCTCCCGCTGAGCGGCACGGTCGGATCTTTTTAAACGGTGAATTTAATCACGCGACGAGATGAGATCAAATCTAATTCTAGCGTGCAATTAACCCCCGGTGATGGTGGTGGTGGTGATGATGGAAACACAAAATCCACACCGGAACGGGGCTCACAGCGCCCACTTGTTAGGGTCCGTGTATTCACCAGTTGCACGGCCACTCGCTAAGCTAAAAGGTGTAGGGTATAACGTGCATGCAATATACACACACGTGTACGTACATACACACGTCGCAAAACAAAACCTACACAATATATAAACAGCGTATGTGGTTGTCCTGCAGCGGTGCACAGATAACAAAAACTTGCATTCGTCAATATCACTGTAGCCTAAAAAGGCAAATTGCTTTCAAAAAGGGCCATTGCCCGAAACGTCGCCGATTCGATATATCTGTTTAAGGCCACAGTGTTATGGACAAATACAAATGTTGCCAGGTCGCCTGTTATAAAAAAAGAGCGCATATGTTTAACCTGAACGCAATAAAAGTTGAGCTCATTTTGAATGAGCGAACGCGACGGGCAAAGGTCGCGTCGAAGACGGACGGAGAGAAGCAGCAACGTCACCTCGGGGCGCGGCACGGGAGGGACAGGAGCGAGCATCTCCTCCGCAGGCTTCGCGTCCACGGCTCCAACTCCGGACGCGCTGCGACTGCCGCTTCTTATACGAGGCGGGTGGGGCCCCTCCGCGCATTCGCATTGGAGACGGCGGCCACGGCGGTGGTGGTGGTGGTGGGAACGAGGGCCCGAGGGTTGAGGGCGGCTCTGGCTGCTCTCGGTGGGAGGGGAGTGGTGCGTGCCGCGTGTGCCAGGAGAGAGAGGAGGGAGGGAGGTATTTGTGTCCGTGCTCCGCTGCCTTCCCGTGGCCGGAGAAATGCGCTCCATACGGGCAACTTGCCGGGATTTCTGGCCCGATGGTCGTTCGTCAGTTGCACACGTGGAACGGAAGGTCCAAGTGGAGTTACCGTCCAAATGAGAATTGACGCGGTGCCCATCTCCCGTTTACAAGACCCAAATTTATAAAACCACGGCAACCACTGTTGACGTCTCCCCCCACCCCCCTGCCCCAGCGGTGTACTAATTTTAACGACCCTCGAGGGATGATGGGCCGATGAATCAACCCTCATCCGGGATTTGAACTCGCGACCTTTCGATGACCAGCCACTCGTTCTACGGCTGGGCCACCTGGACCATCACATGGGGGAGTCATGACTGCGTTTCGGAGCAGTGTCAATGGTAATTCACAGCGAGGCATGAAAACATACCACGTGGTTCATTCAGTCGCTGTCTTTCTGACATACCTGTTATTCACCTGAGGACGGCTGCTTGGGTTGTGGCCGAAACGTCGTGAGAATTATTTTATTATGTTTTATTTTTATTGTTTTATTATTTCCATTCTACGTGACTTTACCGAAAGAACCAAGAAGATGATACCACATGGTTGTTTTACAATTTAGAGAGTACTCATGGCCACAGCAGCATTACTTTCTCCATCTGGTCTGGATTCTGCCCGTCTCGTACCCTTCCAAGCAATGTCCACGTGCTGTCGGAAACGTCCGGACGATGGAACTCTGGCCATATGCAACAAACAACACCTTGCACACGCAGCGTCTATTTATAACACGCGCAGTTCGCTTCCTTCGCGTATCTGTCCCTCCACGAGAAATGTAAAAGTATTTTTTTTACACGTACCAATCAGCCGCCACACGCCCTTCTGGGTGTGACAAATTTTAGCAATATTTCTTTTAACGCGAGCAAACTCTGTTCAGGAGACGCTGAATATCGAGACTGGTCCTGTCAAGTTTGCTTGAGCCAATGCTGGTGAACTGTCCGACGTTTATAGGCGGCCACCTCGTTGGATGTGTGCCCTAGTTCGACGCAGAGCTGTATGATTCGTAGTAGTAGTAGTTTTTTGTTGCACTCTTTAAACTGCACGTGTACAGAGCGGAGTAAACAATGCGGTGCTTGAGAAAGGGGCTCTGCGGCGCCGCCTCCTATCGGTGCGCGGTTATTTAAGGGGGCACGAGGTTCTGGAAAGCCCTCGTCACGCAGCAGGCGCCGTGCCCTAATTTGGGTGGTGAATGTGCCATCGCTTTGTCTGCACCGTCCGCGTCGTGCGCTAAATGCGGCGCGCGCGCCTTTGTCACGGCCCAGACAATGGGGGGCTTGGTGCCGAGCCAGACGCCAAGGTCACCCGCCGGAGGCCGCCTTCTCCTCCTCCTCCTCATCAGCAGCAGCAGCAGCCAACAGGAGCCTCGGAGATTGCGTTAACCGGGCCCACGTGAACGTTCGGGATGTCACAAATAGCCCCACGTGCACGCTTGTTAAGGAGGCATCGAAGAAGCTTCGTTTTCTACTCCGTGCCAAAGCCTCTAACTCCAAACGTTGCTGCTACTGCGGCTGCTACACACTGCACTAATATGGCCCAAGTTGGAATATTGCTGCTTGTCACATCTGGCGTGGAACACCCAGCTCTTGCCTCACCGCACCGGGTAGAATTCAGCATAAAGCAGTCGGTGATGATCCAGCACCCACGGAATCACTCCAGTTACTCGCTCACCGGCGATCATTTGCCTCCTTATCACTCTTCTCTCGCTATACAACCATGCTCACTTCTCCCGTGAACTTCACTCGTTGATTCTCCAGCCATGCCGTGTTCAACTACCACAACTGCAGATCCCAACCACTCACCTCACCAACCACTGATCACCCTGGAGATGCAACATTGGTTCAATACAAGCAGACTGCAGCGGCTTTGACATTTAGTTTCTCATCAGCAGTCAGGCTTTGACCCATTGTTGGTCACCTACCAGATGTTTATAGGTACAGACCCTCTGTTAGATATGGGTCCTAGTTCAATACAAAAACCTTGTAATACACAACTCATTATTCATTCACGTTGTGCAGAATATTGTTACGTATGTTGAACTTTGTTCGGGCCGTACGTAGCCCACCGTGCCCATCGGAGGTGCAGGAGAAGGACAACTAAACACAAAAACGCAGTTCTAAAGAAATCTGTCTTCAATTTAGATTTTAAAGTGCACAGCTCGTTGCTTCCTTACATTGTCCATGTCGACGCAAATGAGAACGCCGGACGATGTTTACGCATTGAGCAAGAGGTCTTCAGCTGTGGCTGTACCCAAGCTGGCGCGTGCAGCCTCCGCTGCTCACCCAGGGCCCCGAGGGCTCGTTACGCACGGCGTGACACACGGGAACAAGGCCCCACGTGCTCGTTGTGCACCACGTGACACACGGGAATAAGGCCCCGAGGGCTCGTTACGCACGGGGTGACACACGGGAACAAGGCCCCGAGGGCTCGTTACGCACGGCGTGACACACGAGAACAAGGCCCCGAGGGCTCGTTACGCACCGCGTGACACACGGGAACAAGGCCCCGAGGGCTCGTTACGCACCGCGTGACACACGGGAACAAGGCCCCACGTGCTCGTTGTGCACCACCTGACACACGGGAACAAGGCCCCGAGGGCTCGTTACGCACGGCGTGACACACGGGAACAAGGCCCCGAGGGCTCGTTACGCACCACGTGACACACGGGAACAAGGCCCCGAGGGCTCGTTACGCACCGCGTGACACACGGGAACAAGGCCCCGAGGGCTCGTTACGCACCACGTGACACACGGGAACAAGGCCCCGAGGGCTCGTTACGCACCACGTGACACACGGGGACAAGGCCCCGAGGGCTCGTTGTGCACGGCGTGACACACGGGAACAAGGAGACGAGGCCTGTGCACTTCCAGTCCATGTTCCTGAGACCCATTCACATGTGAATATTTATTTTTCACTCGCACCATTTTCAATCAAAAGTACATGCAATTAAAAAGTACACATTGCACGTGTACTACATTCGTACATTAAAACCATATTTGCAAAATCTCCAGAAAATAATATACTTATCGATGCCAATGATGCCCTAAATTATACGAGGGAGGTGACCAGATGGACAGTAACAAAAAAACTGGACAAAAACTGAGAAGCGAACACAGATACTTAGAATTAATTTAAGAATGAAAAAGTGCGGGAGGATAGGGTTTCCCCTTTTTTCTGGCAACGGAGTTCCCATGATTAAAGGGCGGTATGATTATAGGACACACGGAGGCTAAGACATCACTGCAATATTTCAGACAACTTGGACAGGAACCCTCGCAAGAAGGGTTCACAGCTAAGAATGATTAAGAAGTGGCAGCCAAGGAATGCAATGTTATTATTACAACTGGGTTCTAAGCTGCGAGGTGTTATTAGTCCTGGTCACCAAAGACTGCATAACACATTCCTGCGGAGGGAGCTGGTAGGAACGTTGGGTTGCTTGGTCAATGGCCAGGGTCAACGGCGGCGTGGTGTATTCCGCAAATATGGCCGACTGTGAGGGCGGGCACAAGCCGGCGTGAGCAGGTTAAACGTTGAGTTTTATAAGGGCACCACGGGGTGACCAGCCCCTCCCCACCCAGCCCCACCCAGCCCCTCCCCACCCTCCCCTCTCCACCCTCCCCTCTCCACCCAGCCCCACTCCTCCCATTTTTGGATGCACGACGGAACAGACGGACACAATAATCCCCCTTGGGATGGTGTAACCAGGAGGTTCCTACCAGTATAAACACAATCTTATCATATTTGTGTCTGCCCATAAATTGGCAAAACTATAGCTCTGAGCAGTAAACATTGGTGTGACTGTCATGCAACAAAGTCGTGGCAATGTATTGGAAGGTTTTTAATACGTTCTTAGATTTATGACCGAATTCTAAGTCGTTTGACAAGACAGTGAAACCACACATTGGAAAAAATTATGGAAAAAAATAACCGACTAAATGTTGGTAAAATCATATTTGTAGTAATATTTGGATTCGTTTACCCAGCAGTCCAGACTTTTAGGAGGGTCCAACCAAGTTTTCACAGTAAAGGGCGGTTGCTCTGTGTATTCCCGACAGAGTGATTTGCAGGTGATGTTTCAGCATTGGCACGTTTAGTCAATACCAAGTTACGTTGTATGCTTTAAGCTTGGGAGAAGAAAACTGCAGAATACCCATGCAGACCAGGGGCAGAACAGACGAACCCCACACAGAAAAGCGCCCAAGTGAGGAATCGAACTCAGGTTTATAGCTACGAGGCACGAGTGTTGCCGGCACACGTCCAGGCAGACGGCAGGCGACACGCCGCACCGTATCAGAGCGTAGCGATCCACCGAAACGTGATCAGGTGCTCGGGGTAGGCCTGCGTATCATTGAAGATGATGAAGATGTCAGGGTGGGCGGTGTTGTCCACCACGCTGTGGAACCGCACAATGGGGCCACCGTCGGTGACCGGAAGCCGGATGGGTGGCGTGAGCATGTTCTCACGGCCCTGCGCAAAATCGCCGGTGAGGACGCGGGCCAAGTACACGTGCTTGCGGCCCGCGGTGTCCGGCGGAGAGTACTGGTCGCGCACCGAGATGCGCGCGCTCGTCGCAAAGTACACGCCCTGGCCGTAGAGCGCCGCTGGGGACACGCGCACACATGCATGTGTCACACCGCCATCCGTATCGTCAGTTATTATTATTGTTGTTGTTCCTGCGCTTGTTGAACCAGGAAATCCTCACCCAGTCTCAAGACTATTTGGGGGAGCGGTGGTGGGGGATGTGGGATGGAGGGACGCTACTGGGCAGTTAGGAGGAAGGTCGCCCTCCCGCAACAGCGGATGGCAGAGGAGCAAAGCTCATAACGTGTCGAGTGCTGGGCCGCTAAAATGCAGCCAGTTGGTATAGTAGGGGGCACGGGTGGTGCATCTGCCAGTCAACCCATGGTACCTGGGTTTGTCCCATGACCTCCTGTCAGCGAGCCACCGACACATCACGTGGCCTCGGAGTGTACCTGGTCTGGCACAAGCATCGTGGTGGGGGTGTTGTTGTTGTTGGGAGTGGGTTGGAGGGGTGAGGATCGTTGGTAACACGTGCACTACACGCTATACACTGAGAAAATTGCAAACACGTACAGCAGACAGAGTTGTTGTTTTATGCAAATGTTAAATACATCGCTAGCGGGCTGGACTTTTCAACTACCCGGGCCAGGATCCACCCGTCACGAGTCTGGCTAGTTGGGGTGGTGTTACTGCACAACACATGGCACTCACCATTTTTCCCACAGAAACTGCGGTTGAAGCCGTGCAAATTGATCTCGGAGCACGCTGCGTCGGCTGTGCCGTGGAACAGGATCCTCTCACAGGGAGGCTGCGAGCACTCGCGCTCAATCTGCTGCTTCTTCAGCAGGAATTGCCGGTAGAGGACGCTGTTGTCCACGCGCTGGATCTGTCAGGCACAACACGCGTGCGATGTGTGCGCGTGTGTGTGTCGTCATGCACGGCGTGCGCATGTTGCTGAGGGTTCTGGCATCATTCTGCATGCCACAATGTCATTGGCATGCTTCATGCAAGGCAGGTAAGCCTTCGTCAAGCACGGCAGTGATTAATGTGATTGGTTTGGATTAGGACGATGGATTTTGGAAGAGTGAAAGGGTTTTCGGAAAGTATTATGCAGTACAGTCATGACTTACTCGTGCATCAGCATAAAATCGCTTGAAGCATTTCTATGTGCGTCTCCACTTGCGAAATACATAACCAACAACGTCTCACATGGCATCATGCAGTTTTCATTTGGAACCTTGAAGCACACAATGCTGCTGTCATCATTTCATCTCCTGCAATAAACAACCCCTATGCCATGGTATAAACAACCCCACCCTCGCTGCACAAGAGACCCAAGCACCAACGCCACCATCCACACTGCACTAGATCCAAGCACCAACCACACTGACACCACTGCACTTTAAGTAGTCGCATTAATCTGCCACGGAGAGGAACTAGAATTCCAAACAGCGAGAGCCTAATCACTCGTATCAGTGCAAGAAACACGTCGTAAAAACCTCCAATAGAGGGACATCTTCAGAGCTCCTCCAGAACGCGTTGGGTCTACCTCTTCCATGCTGGCCAGATGTCTCGGAAGAGGGAGTAACCACACTTAATCCCTTCCCATGCGACCTGCCGATCGACTACCTTGTGGCGTGCTCATCCCGCTGGGTGGACAGGTGGGGGATTTAAAAACATTCGAGATTGAACCGTCAACCTCTGGGCCTGCATGTCCAGTGTGCTGACCATCAACCATGTCCGCAGCCACAACGATAACACTTTAAAAATTGTCACCTGAAGAATTTCAACGTTCACGTTCTCCAGCGATCCAAGAAACTGATCTTTGACTGTTTTAAACTCCTCGTCGTCGGCGTCCAGGTCCACGAGAGCGACGCACTCAGCGGAGGCCAGCGACCCGTGTTCTGTGGCGGAGGCACGCGCATCGAGACGGGAGGCACACACACGGAGAGCACCACTGAGCTGGGAGTGCAAGCGTCCTGCCTGTATGCCCGCAACGCCTACACCCACGCAGCATTGTCCTCTCTACGCAGACACGGGGACGTTATTGCAGCAAGTGCAATATCAATTCTAGATTTGAAGCTTTCGTGACTGCAAGGATTCATACTCTTAGTTTTTTCGGTAAAGTCACGTAGGTAAAAAAATGAAATTAAAATGAATAGACATAAAATATCTTCTTGGTTCTTTCGGTAAAGTCACGTAGAATGGAAATAATAAAATAATAAAAATAAAACATAATAAAATAATTCTCACGACGTTTCGGCCACAACGCAAGCAGTCGTGAGAATTATTTTATTATGTTTTATTGTTATTATTTTATTATTTCCATTCTACGTGACTTTACCGAAAGAACCAAGAAGATGAATCCCTGCAGTCACGAAAGCTTTAAATAGAGAAATAAAATAATAAAAAACACGACGTTTCGGAGGCAACGCAAGTCTCCGTCATCAGGTGGGACCGTCAAACAGGTCCACGTACTCCTCATCCTCTCTTTTAGCCCCGCCCTCCCCCCCCTTCCAATACATCATCATGTGCACCAACAGGGGCTTGCGCACAAACACGTCCACGTCCACGCACACATCGTGCTCTTTTAGCCCCGCTCCCCCCTCCCAACACGTTCCATTCATTGGCTACCACATTCTGATAAGCTCCCCCCCCTCCCCCTTAACTTGTATTTAAGAACTTGCATCTTGGAATCCCTGCCTCACTTGATACAGCAAATCTGCAATATCAATCACAATGATAATTATTGTTTTCGTGTTGTGTATTATAAACTATTGTGCCAAAGCAGGACCTATATGTAACAGAGGCGGTCCTTGCTAGAGAACATTTGGCAGTTAACGAGCATTGCTTCAAGAAAGTCTGATTGCTGATGAAACCTTTAATGCCAAATTCTGTCCAGATTTGCTTGTATCAAACCAACGCTGCTAAAATTATGTTCTCCCAGAAGGCTGTTTGGTTGATGAGATGTGTAGAATAATTGTATTTTTTATATGGAGGGACAGATATGGGCAGTCGGCGCACTGCAATATCTGCTTATTTATCCTGTTACCTGTATTTGTCCTCAAGTGCTCCACGTGGCTAAATTTGCATTTACCTTTCAGGACGATAAACTCGTTTCCAGTACGGCACTTGTAGTGTTCGCTATGAGACAAACCGTGAGGACCTGTGCCTCTTACCTTGACCGAGATCTCTCCTGATAATCTTCACAGATCTTTCGGATCCTTCCCTCAGCTCCTCCATTTTGCGAAAATCAACGGTGTGCAAGTGGCCATTGAAGTGGACCCTGACGCGGGGTTTCTTCTTCTGCCACGCTCTCTCTAAGTAGACGGTGGCATCGGGGGGGTAGGGCATGGCCACTCCTGGCTCGGGGCCCCACAGCCACTCCACGGAGCGCCCAATCAGATCCCTCTCGGTGGCGTCGAGCTGCTCCTGCACGGCCCTCCCGAGCAGCTCGTTGAGGACGCACAGGGCCTCCGCTGTGAACAGCTTGCAGCCGTACAGGCTGAGCCTGCTCCCCTCCACGGTGAGCCGCACCCCGTGCTCGCGCTCCAGAGTGCTTCTCGTCGCCAACGTGAGCTGTTTAAAACATTCGTTTTCCAGTTTGATCTCGTGAAAGTAACCGTCAATATTTTTGACCAAATGATCTTTGATTCGGTCGATGCTGCCGCTTGCGTCGGCACAGATGATGAGCTCAATATTGTCAGAGAAGCTCTGCGGTTGGAGAGAGAGTCGGTCCGTGTCGGCTTTCGTGGACATTTCAATGGCCTTTTCAAATTCACAATTCATGGGGTTTGCTGTTTCTGACACAGAGAGACTGAGCGCCAACTGATAGACATTCTCGTTCTCTCTATCCAGGTTCTGCGTGGAGAGCTGCAAGACTTCCTCCAGTAGCTCCTCCTCACTCCGCATCTTCTCCTCCTGTACGAGGGAATTCTGAATGGCCATCTGGAGCTGCTCCTCCTCGTTCAGAGTCACATTCGATTGGAAATGTCTGAGTGACAGCTCCTTTGCCCGCTCAAAATCAAGCTCCTCTGTGCTGGCATCGACGCCAGCTGATGTGTTTTCCTGATCATCTTGACCTCCGGCTTCCATGAGAGCGAGGTTAGCTTCTTCACCGAGTGCTTCTGGTCTGTCAGCCTGTTCTCCGTACACCTCCCCACCGATGCTATTAGGCTGGGCGGATCCCCGTTCAGTCTCCACACTTATTTCCACCGAATCATTGCTGCCGATCGTGCTCGTAATCTCAGCCGTTTCACGTTGAGCGCCACCTAGTGAAAACACATTGACATTTTCAGATGTTCTGCGCATTACAGGAATCGTGAACAATAATTACTGCTCGATTCAATTCCCTGCAGGGCAAGGCCAAGAATCGCATCTACATTGCACCATAACGTAACAAAACGTCTCTGAGTGGATTCTCTTTTTGTTTTTGCACAGGGGACCCATTCACTGATGGCAACTGTCCCTGTGCTGCACAAGGCGACTCAGCACTACCCTGCAAGTGGCATTGGTCTGCCAGTAGGGGACGATGATTGCTGTGCAATCACAAGTCATTTATGGGTCATTTTTCAAATTTGTACCCTGACGCCAGCACACAATGGCCAACTCTTTTCGAACGACGTCAGGTGATCTCTAACGTGCACTGTGAAGCGGACAGCGCGTAGTTAAGAACTCTTGAGACAAACCTGGGCCACGGGGCATAGAATATGAACGGCAGTTATCCTGTGTCCCGCGGAGTTCATATTCTACGTATTGTTTTACCAGTTCAGAAAAACTAGCTCATCAATGCAACCAACCCTGTTTGTTAATGTGTCCCAAAACCCAACCGGATTTTTTTGTCTTTCCTAAATTTAACTCAAAACTATCCTTGTGAGATTCGTTAAAACCTTTTTTAAAAGCACCTCCCTGGTGACCAAGATAAGAGCACTGCATTGCTGTAATCCTTGAACTCTGCGCGAAGAAAACATTGGGAAGACTTCATTGCAGACTTGGAGCTAACTCACTCCAGCTGTAACACCTGATAACTCCTCCAAAACCTCGGTTCCTCAAGACCAACAAAGCACAGACCACAAAAGACGACAGCGAATGTTGTGGCTTCCCACATACTGTCCTGTTCAAATGCACCAATCGACAAGCTTACCAAACCAGTTGTCCAGCAACAACTCTGTCAACAATTATTGCAAGCAGCAGGTCTAACAAGATCGTAACACTGTCGATTAGCACTGTTGGCTTCGTGCGGCGCGAAATAAGTTCAACTACATACATACGAAGTGGCCCAGAGGGCCACAAAGTCCAACAAGGCACAGGGATATGATGGCCTGTATCCTGAGTTCCTAAAGATCCTGAGACTATAAGGACAATAATAATGGCACCAATACAAATTACACTAAATCATGATCATTGCAAATGAATTCCAGTGCTGCATTCATCCCCTGTACGAACCCAGCAGCAGTGAAGGGAATGCACCATCCTGCATCTGTACGAAGCGTTACCTGCAGGGAGGCTCATCCTGGGAGAGTTGCAGCTCTCCGTGCGCACAAAGCGAGGTGCGACCTCCTCTCCTCGCGCCTCCGCGCTCGCCTGTCGCGCTGGCGCGCAACAGCTCTCCAGGAGCCGCAAGTTGGACCAGCTGGTGTCTTTGGGCCGGATCTTACAGAGGAATTGCTGCTCTGTCTGGGAGAGCAGCTCCTGGCCAATGTGATGGCACAGCAGGCGGGTGATGCCCGGCCTGGGCACGGAGACGGTGGTGCACAGCACCGAGGAGGGCGACACCAGGCTCTGCAGAATCTCCCGCACATTGCCGCAGCACACCTCCGTCCCATACATCTGTGGAAAGGCATCGACGCAAAGAGAGGACACTTCGGTCAGCAGGGTGGCACAGTGGAAACGCTCGTGCCTCACAGCAACAATCGCCTGGGTTCGATTCTTGATTCGGGCACCGATGTAGAGTTGAAATGTCCTCTACTGTGATGCATGGGTTTCCTCCGGGATCTCTGGTTCGTCCCATCGCTAATAATATCATGCAATGTAACATCCCAAAGCTGAAACAAAATCCTCTGTAAATTGCGAATTGGGATTACACACAGAACAGCATCACCCCCTACTGCAAAATCTTGGCAGGATCTTTCTGGGAAAAAGTATTCACTCAGGAAGGCTTTCCTGGGTAAACAAGCAGAATAATAACTTAAAACATGGTTTGGCAAACTGACACTTGGATATACACCCTCGGTTATAAATTACCTGTTAATTGCCATTCATCATTACTGAGGCGGTATTCATTTACAGTTTATAGCCCTGAGCCAGTGGTGGAAATTCCACATTCTTATGCCGGGGAGCGAGTGTATCCAGAGGAAGGCCACTATTGATTTCCCTAAAAAGTGGAACTCATCTTATCGACCATTACTTGACCCTGCACCTCCGATCAGCACGGTTGGCTTCGTACGGTGCAAAAAAAGACAAATATGTACGGTGCAAAAAGTTCAACATACGTACATACATCATGGATCCAGACATACTAAAATAGTATCTCTAGAGAAACAAGATGGTGAACCGGATGTCATTCCTATTTCTATAGAGTGGCATCATCGTAACTGAAGATGTTGAAAGTTCAAAGTTAAACAAAAGAGCACACAATGCAATTGGATCCAATCCGATCTTTATTTAACCAGCAGGTGGAAATGACCCATAAAGACACACGCATGTAAACGTGGTCTTGCTTGCTCACAAGGGCGAAGCAATAGATTTGAAATCACATTGCGGTGAAGTCGATGAATGATAGGAAAAGAAGAAAGCTGCCCAACAAAATGCAGGAGACGCAGAACTTGGTAAAACTATTGGGTGAGGAATTATAGAGGCATAAGAAGACACACGCATCATCATACAGGCAAGCAGCAACAAGAAAATTGATGGTGGCTCTTAAGAGAGCCATGTGCAGCTGTAAAAGTTTTACAGACTAAATTAATGTCGGCATTTCTACCCAGAAATTAGGCCCCTCAAATGTGAATAATTTCCCATTCATCTGTTAGAAAGGCCTGAGCTGACTTTAACGGTCACACATCCACTGGGCAACACACGTGGCAATAAATAGTTCACACAAATATAGGGGAACCAAAGTTATTGGATATTTAGAGGTCAACTAATCGCATCAGGTGAATTTGTTAAATATGTTTCCACCAAGTACCAACCAAATACCATAAACAAGATCCATAGCAGGCACGTGAGAATTAAATATCAGCATTGTATTTATTGTGAAAAGAAATTTCATTGAGTGGAAATGGTCACATCAAAAGAAGAAAGATCGTAGAAAACAGGTCCCAAATAAAAACAGACATTGTTGAAATAAATATTTCCACGCAACCACAGAATTACAAACGCATTGAGAGAGCAGCACATTCACAAGTCAAGACAGACGTCGGGGATTCGAACGGTGAGCCTCTGCAACAAGCGATGAACGCGTTACCACTGTGCCGCATCGCCTCCATCGGCCACGTGGCCAGCCTGGAGCACAATTGCAAAAGAGGCATCTTTGTTATATTCCTGCGAGTACTCAACGATTTCACAATACCTTCAAGCCAATGACGGGAGGCTCCATCACAGGGATGAGTGTTATCTGCTCGCTGATCTGCTGCAGGATGCTTGTGTAATGCTCCTGCAGGAAATCCAGCACGGCTTCCTCCATGGGGAACACGCTCTCCACCACGGCGTGCTCCCGCAGGAACGTTGCCACCTTCGCCTGGACACAAGCTTGCAGTTCACGCAGAGCGATCACCTCCATGTGTCCATCCCCACATTCAAAGTGGACGGGCCCTGCCACCTCAAGCCCCTGCACAAACTCTGACCATTCCTGCGTTGACATGACCGCGGCCTGGTCGGATGGCAAAGGCAATTGGAAACTGTGCACCCTGTCAGAGATGGCTTCCTTCAGGGAGTTGCCGCTTTCTTCCCCAAACGAGCCAATCTGCACGGAGGAATCGGTCACCCTGTAAATGGCATTAATCTTCTCCTCATTACAAACGTTTCCAATATATTTAGAAACGTTGCTCTTTTTCAGAAATGCCAATAATTTGGAATCGATTGCCCAAGGTATTTCAATTACTTCACTCAACAGTGTCAACAGGCGACACTTGGCTTCCATAATGTCACTGCGATTTGTGCCGGTTATCTGAATCTCATTTTGCGAAACCTTGATTTTCAGGCCTTCAAATCCATTTTCCATTGAGCCGATGACTTGCTGCAGCAAAGGCGACAAATACGCAAGGCTCGCTTTGAGAACAACGGTCTCCGTGATTTCTGCTGAAGCTGTGCCGCCATCTCTCGGGCCGGCGTTCCCATTGCGCGTGTCCCTCTCGCAGTGCGCTGTGCCACCACCTCTCGACCGCTCGTGCATTCCCGCTGCAGTGTCGTCCACTGGCAAGGGCACCGATACCAGAGTCGCTGTGGCTGAGGGAGCAGTGTCGTCCATGCTTTCGTCCGAAGGACCCTCCTCCAGCTGCAGGAAGTACGGTTTCACCTCGAGGCGACGATTGTGAAGGGTGTGAGTTTGCTGGAGCACTTGGTCCACCACTGCACACAAGAATCACACCACAATCATATCCACTCACATTTTAAACCTTCTTTTTGGTTCTTTCGGTAAAGTCACGTAGAAGGGAAATAATAAAATAATAAAAATAAAACATAATAAAATAATTCTCACGACGTTTCGGCCACAACCTTGTAGTTGTTTCTCTCTCTCAAGTTTAACAGTAATATCAACTGGTCAGGTGACTCAGGCTTTCGTCCCTTTTTGGGTTGATAAAATAAGTAGCAGTCGATGGGGAAGTTAACTGCGGTTGGCCTATGGATATTGCTCACCCACGCCAATGAAATGGGGAATTTGCACCACCGGCTTTAGGCTGTAAACAGGAGACGATCACCACCTCAATACCCATTAGAGCAGGAAATACATTTGATGTCTAGCCTCCTGAAAGTCTGAAGGTCAGCTGGGCCATATGTCCTGTCAGGAAATTACCCAAAATGTGAGACCTCAAAAGTGCTTCTTCGAACAATTGAACTGGTCTACAACTTTTTAGACGTTGTCTGCTTCAGAGATGAAATGTGCTGTTTATTATGGATTTTGATGTGCTGAGTTCAAATATGACAATAACAACAACTGATTGGCTACTGTTGCCAAGATATTAAAGTTTTTACATTTTACGTCTATGTATATTGTGTAGATAGAGTTTTAATCATACATTGTAAACCTCGGTCTTTTAATGTGTTTATGGTTGCTTAGCATGATAACAGGTCACCTGTTCTGTTCATGCAACACTTTAAAAAACAGCAAAAGGGTTATATAAATAAAATGTATTATGAAACAAAAGGCAAAAAACTATTGTGTCTATAAGTACATAGTTTAGTCCTTATTCAGTGTCTACTCGGCGCTTCTTGGCTTGTCTCTTGTATTCATCAAATGGAGCATCTCTTCTGACTATCCAGCAATAGTCTGCACGCATCGATGGGCTCCATTTGCCCTGATAGCGTTTCTCCATTGTCGCAATGTCCTGGTGACATCGCTCGCCATGCTCACCGCTCACTGCTCCGCAGTTCCCTGGGAAAAACATCGAGATGAGATTCTAGATTTTAAGTTTTCGTGACTGCAAGGATTCATACTTTTTGTTTTTTTAGGTAAAGTCACGTAGGTAAATTTTTTTTTTTTTTACCAACATTAATCCTCAAAACTGTGGATGACTGAATATCAAGTCACAAACGAAATGTATACTGGCTGGCAGGGTGATGGTGGTGGTAACACTCGTGCCTCACAGCAGGAAGTACCCAGGCTAAATTCCCAACTATGGCGGCCTTCCTGTATGTAGGTTGCATGGTCTCTCCGGTTTTTCATGGGTTTGCGGTGGCTTTTCTGGTTCCTTCCAAATAAATAATAACCCCCTAAAAATTACCCGTGAGATGATTTATAGCAACATCGCCCCCTACTGTGAAAGCTTGGCAAGACCCCCCCAGAGTCTTTAGACTTGGTGAGGCTTTTCTGGGTAAACAAGCGTAATAAAACGAGAGACTTTGTGCTCTTACTTGACTGAAATAAGACGGGCCTGGTTAAACCGAGCCTGGTTAAACCGGCCCGGATTCGAACCTTGGCTTCTTACGGCACGACATTAGCACTGCTTAGTGCATTACTAAACCTGGCGTGGGCCGTATGGTACTGCTGCTGTACTGCTGTGTGGACATTCAGACCTTTCATCTTCTTGGTTCTTTCGGTAAAGTCACGTAGAAGGGAAATGATAAAATTATAAAAATAAAACATAATAAAATATTATGTTTTGATTTTTATTATTTAAAAATAAAACGTAATAAAATATTACGTTTTTATTTTTATTATTTAAAAATAAAACGTAATAAAATATTATGTTTTTATCTTCTTGGTTCTTTCGGTAAAGTCACGTAGAAGGGAAATAATAAAATTAAAATAATAAAATAAATATAATTTTATTGTTTTAAAATAATAAAAAAAAAATTAATTATGCTTTGTTTTTATTATTTAAAATTATAATTATTTAAAATAATATAATTATTTTATTGTTTTATTTTTATTGTTTAATAATTTCCCTTCTACGTGTCTTTACCGAAAGAACCATGAAGATGAATCCATGCAGCCACGAAAGCTTTAAATCGAAATAATGTTTTTATTTTTATTATTTTATTATTTCCCTTCTACGTGACTTTACCGAAAGAACCAAGAAGATGAATCCCTGCAGTCACGAAAGCTTTAAATCGAAATTCAGACCTTTGTCGCTGTGGAAGGTGACGATGGCGTGGCCTCCAAGTGGCGACAGAGCCACGTTCTGTACTGCGCCGCCGCCGCTCTGCCGGCTCTCAAAGTACAGCATCACCAAGTCCTGGCACACGGTGGGGTCCAGGTTTCCTACCCACAGGCGTGAGGTGACCGGCACCCACTCGGCACGCAGCCGCGCTCCCTCCAGGCAACGCTCCTCGCATCGACGCACGAACAGCTTCAACTCTGATGGGAAATCGAAGTGCGCGCCATTATCAGCGCTTCACGCAGCCGTCCGCCGTAGAAACTAAGCTTTGACATTTCTTGAAATGCAAATATAGTTCACAAATGTGCTTCTGTTCCAAGAGCAAAGCACTGTATCCTTTTGGGACAGTAAGAAGGAAACCTGAACAGGCACACTCTTGCTGAGATGCGGAGCTGCATCAGCAACGAACGCATTACCAGACTCACGAAACTATGCTACCGGTAAAGTCACGTAGAAGGGAAACAATAAAATAATAATAATAATATAAAATAAAATTCTCACGTTTCGATTGCAACACAAGCAATCATCATCAGGTGACATTTTTTTTGCTGTGGTTTTCACACCTGATGATTGCTTGTGTTGCAATCGAAACGTCGTGAGAATTTTATTGTTTAATATTTATTTTATTTTATTATTTCCCTTCTACGTGACTTTACCGAAACAACCAAGAATATGAATTCCTGCAGTCATGAAAGCTTTAAATAAAAATTTATGCTGCCAGTCTCTACTAATTACGCCACACAACACGACTGTTACAAGTAGAGCACAATTCATATAAACCAGGCGGTGTACACCGTTGAACTGTTGATGTGTCTGACTGGCGTATAAACGTAGACTGTGTAAGCTTCAGGTTTGAATGTGTGTACTCGTGTCGTTACGTGTGCCGTGTGTGCAAACTGACACCCTGGACACGTTTACAAAACGAGACGTTCTACTGGAGGGGTTCGCCAGGTGAAATATTTGAATACAAAATACATGCACATGTGATAATTGGTTTTTTACCCTTCTATCTGGCAACAAAACTGACACCTTTTTTTACAAGGAGTCATGTTTGCATAGACCACAATACCTGCAGCCATAATGCAAACAAAAAACATAACTCTGATAATATATGCACCGTCATCTGGTCCAACCCATGTGAGACTAGGCTCTAAGGAAAGCTGTCTCGGGTGTGGACCAATCAACTTCAAGGACAGTGCATACATTATCAGAGTTCTGTTTTTTGTTTGCATTATGACTGCAGGTATTGTGGTCTATGCAAACATGACTCCTTGTAAAAAAGGTGTCAGTTTTGTTGCCAGATAGAAGGGTAAAAAACAATTATCATATTTTTTACTGGCAAATGAGGTTCCAATGGTGTAAATGCTTACCCCGAGCTCTCATACTCTGATGGTGCATTGTCTTTGAGTTGTGCGCCTTTTGGCGTCATCTGGTCCAACCCATGTGAGACGAGGCTCTAAGGAAAGCTATCTGACAGTGCATATATTATCAGAGTTATGTTTTTTGTTTGCATTATGGCTGCAGGTATTGTGGTCTATGCAAACATGACTCCTTGTAAAAAACATGCACATGTATTTTGTAGTTGTTGGCAGTTACAAGTAATGCTAGATACCACTGGAGAAACACGCGTGGGTTTTAACCAGGTACTTTGTTTTCTCCCACGCGTAAAAACACTGATTACTGAGGTTGGCCAAACATCCCAGTATAGGACCGTAGAACTTGGACAATTGATGGGGCCAGTTCTGGCTGCCTCCCTGCTTGTCGCCCCTGAATCACTCTCACTCTCCGAGTGAATGAAAACCGCAGGTTAAAAAGTGTACGTCTTAAGTATCATCACGGCCCTCAGGGTCTTGCTTTTGTCAGCGACCCACCAAGAGGTGGCGGCCCCTTGTGAAAGTGCACGAGAGCCGAGGTTCTGCCGGCTCCGTAGTGCAGAGCGAAGTCCTCGGCGCTGGCCCCGCTCAGAGCCTCCACGTACAGCTGGAGCACCTCCACCTGCGTCGTCGCCTTCAGGCCCACAAGCAGCACTTTGGTGGGGTCGAGAGGGAGGCACTGTGACACCCGCAGAGGGACGCCGCACAGGTTGTGCTCCGTCTGCCTCAACACCGCCCGCATGTCTGCACACATCACCAGAAAGCGCCACAGCTTAAGCGAGGTTGCTGCTGCTGCTGCTGCAAGACCGGTTGGAGTCGCGGCTGTATTTTTGTATTGTTCTGATTGTTCATCTAGGAAAGCATCACTCTTAAGATTTTTTGAGGAGGGTCCTGCCAAGTTTTCGCCGTCGGGGTCGACGTTGCTGTGCGAAATCCCAGTTGAGTCGTTTGAGGGTAAAACTTTTCAGCATGGGATGTTCGTGGCCAATGCGAGTTTACATTGCGTGTTATTGAGCTGTGGAAGAAAACCGATGCAGAACAGGGAGGAAAACCCATGCACAACGGGGGGAGAACACACAAACCCCACTAAGAAAATCTCCCAAGTCGGCAATCAAACCAAGGTGCTTCTATTTCGAGGCACAAGTGTCAAACTACAGCGCCCGCCCGCCACCCTGCCGCCCATCCTGACAAAAACTAACAAATTGCCACGTTCTGTCCACGTGACAATCCTCGCTAATTGTCTGTGTCGGCTGGTGGCGGGTTTAACGACACATTTATATTCATATTCTTGGATCTTTCGGTAAAGTCACGTAGAAGGGAAATAATAAAAATAATAAAATTCTCACGACGTTACGGCCACAACACAAGCAGCCGTCAAGCTCAGGTGAAGAACAGAGTTGTTAGAGCTGTCGGAAAGACAGCGTCCTAATGAACACTGACACATTTATAATTTACGCGATCTAACCCCCCCAAAAAAAGACCCTTTGTATTATGAACAAACGACGAGGTGGCGTCGTTGTCATCATCGTCGTCATCATCATCGTCGTCTTCATCATCGTCTTCATCGTCGTCGTCGTCATCGTCGTCATCATCGTCGTCGTCGTCATCATCATCGTCGTCGTCGCCTTTGTACCTTCCACACTTTTGAAAGTGACTCGGGCCTCTCGATTGGGGGTCAAGCTGACATCGGCCACGGGCCCCCCTCCCGACCGCTTCTTGTTCTCGAAGTACATCGCCAGCAGCTCCGACGACAGCGCGGCGCCCTCCAGCCCCGTCACGGTGATGCTGAGCGCCACGGCGTCCTCGCCACCGTCCTGCAGCGAGTTCACCTCCCCCCCCATGCCCTCATCCTCGTCCATGCTTCTGCTTCCTCGTCAGCGTGCCAGCAGCAGCGGGGTGAAGGGGGAGTCAGGGGGGGGTGAGGGGGGGGGGTGAGAGGGGTGGTGAGGGGGGGCAAAGATCGACAACATGTGGGGTTGTGGCCGCTGCTCTCAACCACAACTCACTCGCTCTCATAATCAGCGCTCTTTACATGGAGTCACTACACTCACACTCACCACTCTCACACTCACCACTCTCACACTCACCACACTCACCACCCTCACACTCACCACTCTCACCACTCTCACCACACTCACACTCACCACACTCACCACCCTCACACTCACCACCCTCACACTCACCACTCACCACACTCACCACTCACCACACTCACCACCCTCACACTCACCACTCACCACCCTCACACTCACCACTCCCACACTCACCACTCTCACACTCACCACACTCACACTCACCACTCTCACACTCACCACACTCACCACTCTCACACTCACCACACTCACCACTCTCACACTCACCACTCACCACCCTCACACTCACCACTCCCACTCACCACTCCCACACTCACCACACTCACCACTCTCACACTCACCACTCCCACACTCACCACGCTCACACTCACCACCCTCACCACCCTCACACTCACCACTCTCACCACTGTCACACTCACCACCCTCACACCCACCACCCTCACACTCACCACTCCCACACTCACCACCCTCACACTCACCACCCTCACACTCACCACTCACCACACTCACCACTCACCACTCTCAACGCTCGCCTCTCACCACACTCACCACTGTCACACTCACCACCCTCACACTCACCACTCACCACACTCACCACTCTCACACTCACCACTCACCACACTCACCACCCTCAACGCTCGCCACTCTCACACTCACCACCCTCACACTCGCCACTCACCACACTCACCACTCACCACCCTCACACTCACCACACTCACCACTGCCACACTCACCACACTCACCACTCACCACTCACCACCCTCAACGCTCGCCTCTCACCACACTCACCACTGTCACACTCACCACCCTCACACTCACCACTCACCACACTCCAAACTCTCACACTCACCACACTCACCACTCACCACCCTCACCACTCTCACACTCACCACCCTCACACTCACCACACTCACCACTCACCACACTCACACTCACCACTCACCACCCTCACACTCACCACACTCACACTCACCACTCACCACTCTCACACTCACCACACTCACCACTCACCACACTCACCACATTCACCACTCACCACCCTCAACGCTCGCCTCACCACACTCACCACACTCACCACTCACCACACTCACACTCACCACACTCACCACTCACCACACTCCCACACTCACCACACTCACCACTCTCACACTCACCACTCACCACACTCACCACCCTCACACTCACCACACTCACACTCACCACCCTCACACTCACCACTGCCACTGCCACACTCACCACACTCACACTCACCACACTCACCACTCACCACACTCACCACTGCCACACTCACCACACTCACACTCACCACACTCACCACTCACCACACTCACACTCACCACACTCACCACTCTCACACTCACCACTCACCACACTCACCACTCACCACACTCACCACCCTCACACTCACCACTCACCACTCTCACACTCACACTCACCACACTCACCACACTCACTACTCACCACTCTCACACTCACCACACTCACCACTCACCACACTCACCACTCCCACACTCACCACTCACCACCCTCAACGCTCGCCTCTCACCACTGTCACACTCACCACTCTCACACTCAACACTCCCACACTCACCACACTCACCACTCCCACACTCACCACACTCACCACTCTCACACTCACCACACTCACCACCCTCACACTCACCACCCTCACCACTCACCACACACACCACTCACCACCCTCACACTCACCACTCACCACACTCACCACACACACTCACCACCCTCACACTCACCACACTCACCACACACACCACTCACCACCCTCACACTCACCACACTCACCACACTCACCACTCACCACACTCACCACCCTCACACTCACCACACTCACCACTCACCACACTCACCACACTCACCACTCACCACACTCACCACACTCACACTCACCACACTCACCACTCACCACACTCACCACACTCACACTCACCACTCACCACACTCACCACACTCACCACCCTCACACTCACCACTCTCACACTCACCACACACACCACTCACCACCCTCACACTCACCACTCACCACACTCACACTCACCACTCACCACACTCACCACACACACCACACACACCACACACCACCCTCACACTCACCACACTCACCACACACACCACTCACCACCCTCACACTCACCACACTCACCACACTCACCACTCACCACACTCACCACCCTCACACTCACCACACTCACCACTCACCACACTCACCACACTCACCACTCACCACACTCACCACACTCACACTCACCACACTCACCACACTCACCACTCACCACACTCACCACACTCACACTCACCACTCACCACACTCACCACACTCACCACACTCACACTCACCACACTCACCACCCTCACACTCACCACCCTCACACTCACCACCCTCACACTCACCACCCTCACACTCACCACTCACCACACTCACCACTCACCACTCTCAACGCTCGCCTCTCACCACACTCACCACTGTCAACATTCACCACCCTCACACTCACCACTCACCACACTCACCACTCTCACACTCACCACTCACCACACTCACCACCCTCAACGCTCGCCACTCTCACACTCACCACCCTCACACTCGCCACTCACCACACTCACCACTCACCACCCTCACACTCACCACACTCACCACTGCCACACTCACCACACTCACCACTCACCACACTCACCACTCACCACCCTCAACGCTCGCCTCTCACCACACTCACCACTGTCACACTCACCACCCTCACACTCACCACTCACCACACTCCAAACTCTCACACTCACCACACTCACCACTCACCACCCTCACCACTCTCACACTCACCACCCTCACACTCACCACACTCACAACTCACCACACTCACACTCACCACTCACCACCCTCACACTCACCACACTCACACTCACCACTCTCACACTCACCACTCACCACACTCACCACATTCACCACTCACCACCCTCAACGCTCGCCTCACCACACTCACCACACTCACCACTCACCACTCACCACACTCACACTCACCACACTCACCACTCACCACACTCACCACACTCCCACACTCACCACACTCACCACTCTCACACTAACCACTCACCACACTCACCACCCTCACACTCACCACACTCACACTCACCACCCTCACACTCACCACACTCACCACCCTCACACTCACCACTGCCACACTCACCACACTCACACTCACCACTCACCACACTCACCACTGCCACACTCACCACACTCACACTCACCACACTCACCACTCACCACACTCACACTCACCACACTCACCACTCTCACACTCACCACTCACCACACTCACCACTCACCACACTCACCACCCTCACACTCACCACTCACCACTCTCACACTCACCACACTCACCACACTCACTACTCACCACTCTCACACTCACCACACTCACCACTCACCACACTCACCACTCCCACACTCACCACTCACCACCCTCAACGCTCGCCTCTCACCACTGTCACACTCACCACTCTCACACTCAACACTCCCACACTCACCACACTCACCACTCTCACACTCACCACACTCACCACCCTCACACTCACCACCCTCACCACTCACCACACTCACCATACACACCACTCACCACCCTCACACTCACCACTCACCACACTCACCACACACACCACTCACCACCCTCACACTCACCACACTCACCACACACACCACTCACCACCCTCACACTCACCACACTCACCACACTCACCACTCACCACACTCACCACCCTCACACTCACCACACTCACCACTCACCACACTCACCACACTCACCACTCACCACACTCACCACACTCACAATCACCACACTCACCACTCACCACACTCACCACACTCACACTCACCACTCACCACACTCACCACACTCACCACCCTCACACTCACCACTCTCACACTCACCACACACACCACTCACCACCCTCACACTCACCACTCACCACACTCACACTCACCACTCACCACACTCACCACACACACCACTCACCACCCTCACACTCACCACACTCACCACACACACCACTCACCACCCTCACACTCACCACACTCACCACACTCACCACTCACCACACTCACCACCCTCACACTCACCACACTCACCACTCACCACACTCACCACACTCACCACTCACCACACTCACCACACTCACAATCACCACACTCACCACACTCACCACTCACCACACTCACCACACTCACACTCACCACTCACCACACTCACCACACTCACACTCACCACACTCACCACCCTCACACTCACCACTCTCACACTCACCACACACACCACTCACCACCCTCACACTCACCACACTCACCACACTCACCACTCACCACACTCACCACCCTCACACTCACCACCCTCACACTCACCACCCTCACACTCACCACTCTCACACTCACCACACACACCACTCACCACCCTCACACTCACCACACTCACCACTCACCACACTCACCACCCTCACACTCACCACCCTCACACTCACCACCCTCACACTCACCACTCACCACACTCACCACTCACCACTCTCAACGCTCGCCTCTCACCACACTCACCACTGTCAACATTCACCACCCTCACACTCACCACTCACCACACTCACCACTCTCACACTCACCACTCACCACACTCACCACCCTCAACGCTCGCCAATCTCACACTCACCACCCTCACACTCGCCACTCACCACACTCACCACTCACCACCCTCACACTCACCACACTCACCACTGCCACACTCACCACACTCACCACTCACCACACTCACCACTCACCACCCTCAACGCTCGCCTCTCACCACACTCACCACTGTCACACTCACCACCCTCACACTCACCACTCACCACACTCCAAACTCTCACACTCACCACACTCACCACTCACCACCCTCACCACTCTCACACTCACCACCCTCACACTCACCACACTCACCACTCACCACACTCACACTCACCACTCACCACCCTCACACTCACCACACTCACACTCACCACTCACCACTCTCACACTCACCACACTCACCACTCACCACATTCACCACTCACCACCCTCAACGCTCGCCTCACCACACTCACCACACTCACCACTCAACACTCACCACACTCACACTCACCACACTCACCACTCACCACACTCACCACACTCCCACACTCACCACACTCACCACTCTCACACTCACCACTCACCACACTCACCACCCTCACACTCACCACACTCACACTCACCACCCTCACACTCACCACACTCACCACCCTCACACTCACCACTGCCACACTCACCACACTCACACTCACCACACTCACCACTCACCACACTCACCACTGCCACACTCACCACACTCACACTCACCACACTCACCACACTCACCACACTCACACTCACCACACTCACCACTCTCACACTCACCACTCACCACACTCACCACTCACCACACTCACCACCCTCACACTCACCACTCACCACTCTCACACTCACACTCACCACACTCACCACACTCACTACTCACCACTCTCACACTCACCACACTCACCACTCACCACACTCACCACTCCCACACTCACCACTCACCACCCTCAACGCTCGCCTCTCACCACTGTCACACTCACCACTCTCACACTCAACACTCCCACACTCACCACACTCACCACTCCCACACTCACCACACTCACCACTCTCACACTCACCACACTCACCACTCACCACACTCACCACACACACCACTCACCACCCTCACACTCACCACTCACCACACTCACCACACACACCACTCACCACCCTCACACTCACCACACTCACCACACACACCACTCACCACCCTCACACTCACCACACTCACCACACTCACCACTCACCACACTCACCACCCTCACACTCACCACACTCACCACTCACCACACTCACCACACTCACCACTCACCACACTCACCACACTCACACTCACCACACTCACCACTCACCACACTCACACTCACCACTCACCACACTCACCACACTCACCACCCTCACACTCACCACTCTCACACTCACCACACACACCACTCACCACCCTCACACTCACCACTCACCACACTCACACTCACCACTCACCACACTCACCACACACACCACTCACCACCCTCACACTCACCACACTCACCACACACACCACTCACCACCCTCACACTCACCACACTCACCACACTCACCACTCACCACACTCACCACCCTCACACTCACCACACTCACCACTCACCACACTCACCACACTCACCACTCACCACACTCACACTCACCACACTCACCACACTCACCACTCACCACACTCACCACACTCACACTCACCACTCACCACACTCACACTCACCACACTCACCACCCTCACACTCACCACTCTCACACTCACCACACACACCACTCACCACCCTCACACTCACCACACTCACCACACTCACCACTCACCACACTCACCACCCTCACACTCACCACCCTCACACTCACCACCCTCACACTCACCACTCACCACACTCACCACTCACCACTCTCAACGCTAGCCTCTCACCACACTCACCACTGTCAACATTCACCACCCTCACACTCACCACACTCACCACTCTCACACTCACCACTCACCACACTCACCACCCTCAACGCTCGCCACTCTCACACTCACCACCCTCACACTCGCCACTCACCACACTCACCACTCACCACCCTCACACTCACCACACTCACCACTGCCACACTCACCACACTCACCACTCACCACACTCACAACTCACCACCCTCAACGCTCGCCTCTCACCACACTCACCACTGTCACACTCACCACCCTCACACTCACCACTCACCACACTCCAAACTCTCACACTCACCACACTCACCACTCACCACCCTCACCACTCTCACACTCACCACCCTCACACTCACCACACTCACCACTCACCACACTCACACTCACCACTCACCACCCTCACACTCACCACACTCACACTCACCACTCACCACTCTCACACTCACCACACTCACCACTCACCACACTCACCACATTCACCACTCACCACCCTCAACGCTCGCCTCACCACACTCACCACACTCACCACTCACCACTCACCACACTCACACTCACCACACTCACCACTCACCACACTCACCACACTCCCACACTCACCACACTCACCACTCTCACACTCACCACTCACCACACTCACCACACTCGCCACCCTCACACTCACCACACTCACACTCACCACACTCACACTCACCACACTCACCACCCTCACACTCACCACTGCCATACTCACCACACTCACACTCACCACACTCACCACTCACCACACTCACCACTCACCACACTCACCACTGCCACACTCACCACACTCACACTCACCACACTCACCACTCACCACACTCACACTCACCACACTCACCACTCTCACACTCACCACTCACCACACTCACCACTCACCACACTCACCACCCTCACACTCACCACTCACCACTCTCACACTCACACTCACCACACTCACCACACTCACTACTCACCACTCTCACACTCACCACACTCACCACTCACCACACTCACCACTCCCACACTCACCACTCACCACCCTCAACGCTCGCCTCTCACCACTGTCACACTCACCACTCTCACACTCAACACTCCCACACTCACCACACTCACCACTCCCACACTCACCACACTCACCACTCTCACACTCACCACACTCACCACTCACCACACTCACCACACACACCACTCACCACCCTCACACTCACCACTCACCACACTCACCACACACACCACTCACCACCCTCACACTCACCACACTCACCACTCACCACGCTCACACTCACCACACTCACCACACTCACCACTCACCACACTCACCACCCTCACACTCACCACACTCACCACTCACCACACTCACCACACTCACCACTCACCACACTCACCACACTCACACTCACCACACTCACCACTCACCACACTCACCACTCACCACACTCACCACCCTCACACTCACCACTCTCACACTCACCACACACACCACTCACCACCCTCACACTCACCACTCACCACACTCACACTCACCACTCACCACACTCACCACACTCACCACACACACCACTCACCACCCTCACACTCACCACACTCACCACACACACCACTCACCACCCTCACACTCACCACACTCACCACACTCACCACTCACCACACTCACCACCCTCACACTCACCACACTCACCACTCACCACACTCACCACACTCACCACTCACCACACTCACACTCACCACACTCACCACACTCACCACTCACCACACTCACCACACTCACACTCACCACTCACCACACTCACACTCACCACACTCACCACCCTCACACTCACCACTCTCACACTCACCACACACACCACTCACCACCCTCACACTCACCACTCACCACACTCACACTCACCACTCACCACCCTCACACTCACCACACACACCACTCACCACCCTCACACTCACCACTCACCACACTCACCACACACACCACTCACCACCCTCACACTCACCACACTCACCACACTCACCACTCTCACACTCACCACCCTCACACTCACCACACTCACACTCACCACACTCACCACCCTCACACTCACCACACTCACCACACTCACACTCACCACCCTCACACTCACCACACTCACACTCACCACACTCACCACCCTCACACTCACCACACTCACCACCCTCACACTCACCACACTCACCACTCACCACACTCACCACCCTCACACTCACCACACTCACCACTCACCACACTCACCACCCTCACACTCACCACCCTCACACTCACCACACTCACCACCCTCACACTCACCACCCTCACACTCACCACACTCACCACCCTCACACTCACCACCCTCACCACTCACCACACTCACCACCCTCACCACCCTCACACTCACCACCCTCACACTCACCACACTCACCACCCTCACACTCACCACCCTCACACTCACCACACTCACCACCCTCACACTCACCACACTCACCACCCTCACGCTCGCCTCACCACCCTCACACTCACCTCACCACCCTCACACTCACCTCACCACCCTCACACTCACCACCCTCACCACTCACCACACTCACCACCCTCACCACCCTCACACTCACCACCCTCACACTCACCACACTCACCACCCTCACACTCACCACACTCACCACCCTCACGCTCGCCTCACCACCCTCACACTCACCTCACCACCCTCACACTCACCACACTCACCACACTCACCACCCTCACACTCACCACACTCACCACACTCACCACACTCACCACCCTCACACTCACCACACTCACCACCCTCACCACCCTCACACTCACCACCCTCACACTCACCACACTCACCACACTCACCACCCTCACACTCACCACCCTCACACTCACCACACTCACCACCCTCACACTCACCACACTCACCACCCTCACGCTCGCCTCACCACCCTCACACTCACCTCACCACCCTCACACTCACCTCACCACCCTCACCTCACCACCCTCACACTCACCACTCGCCTCACCACCACCACTCCGGCACGCGGAAATTGTCGTCATCCGGGGTTTCCTCTTCTCCAAGACGTCACGAGGCGGCGTGATGTGTTCGACGCGGTCCCTTGCAACTGCGCGTGTTGCCGGCGGCGAATGGGGTGCGGGGGTGAGGCCCAGGGCTCGCAGTAAAGTTGTCACAGCAGGGGACGCAGGCGGTAAGCATCGGTCAGTCAACTCGGTCGACCCGTGGCACCCGCTGGGTCTGCCCCGTGACCTCCTTCACGTGGCCTCAACGTGCACCTAGCCTGGCACAGGCGCCGTGGTGACGTCACCGCCACTTAGGGGCCGTCCATAAATGAGTTCACGCACCTGGGGGGGGTGGGGGTCAGACATTTGTGACGAGGGGGTGGGGGGGGTGAGAAATGTGACGTCACATCAAAATGCGCAACTTTAAATAAATATAGACAACACGTTCTAATTAATTAAATTGACTTTTTAATGTTTTCTCCTACAACATCAGAATGCAGCAGCACGTTAGATACGCACTACAATGACAATAGTTTAAATCGATTTGAAGCATGTTTTATTTTTGGGGGGGGGGGGCAGAGCTTTGTGACGTCATATTTGAGGGGGGGGGTGACTTTTTGTGACGCCGTGTGACGAGGGGGGGGTCAAAAATCGTCCAAAATCGCGTGACGTCATTTATGGACGGGCCCCTTAGTGGCGAATGGCGGTTATTGTTGGTGTTGTTAGGATAATGTTATGGGGTTCTTGTTAGGGTTATGGGGTAGCAGTAGGTCTGGGTCAAGAGTGGGTCCAAAAGGGGGGGGGGGTCCCGGGGGGGGGGGTGGGCGGGTCACAGGGGGGGTCCAGGTCTAGGAGGTCTAGGGGGGTCCATGGGGGGGGGGTCCATGGGGGGGGCCCATGGGGGGGGGGGTCCATGGGGGGGGGGGTCCAGGATGGGTATTGTGTGGGGGTTAGGAGTTAGGGTTATAGGTTAGGGCTAGAGGGTGGCTATATGTGCAGTAGGGTCAGGGCTATAGGGTCAGGGCTATAGGGTTGAGTGTGTCAATGGGTCCACTTTTGGGTCTGCACAAGCCTCGTGATGCCCTCTGGTGGACAAACGCACAACTACAGCTGCTGCCCTGCAAGGAACAGAATAAGCGAGCAAGAACGACAGCCTCCACAAAGTCGCCTCTCCCACGTCAACAATGCGAGTGGATCGACTCTCATCTCGTCAGGAGCACGACCTTCTGAGAATGGTCGTTAGATATTAAAATAAAAGTTTAAATACGTCCCCACCCTCCGCTGGCCTTCGCACCTGATTGACTCACACGTGGTATCGCGTCAGTTAGACAATGCACAAATATTTTAACACTTCCACCAGGTCGGCTAATTAAAAAAAAACCATATAAACACATTCCTGCGTTGGGTTGCTCGGTCAAAGGCCAGGGTCAACGGCGGCGTGGTGTATTCCGCAAATCTGGCCGACTGTGAGGGTGGGCACAAGCCGGCGTGAGTAGGTTAAACGTTGAGTTTTATAAGGGCACCACGGGGTGAACAGCCCCTCCCCACCCAGCCCCACCCACTCCCCACCCAGCCCCACCCCTCCCACCCCCCACCCAGCCCCACCCCTCCCACCCCCCACCCAGCCCCTCCCCTCTCCACCCAGCCCCACCCCTCCCATTTTTGGATGCACGACGGACGGACGGACACAATAATCCCCTGTGGGCTGGTGTAACCAGGAGGTTCTCACCAGTATAATGTGCATACTATATATTTCCGAATGGTATGCCATATATAATGGTATACATTCATTGTTATATTATGTAGAAATTACATATGTATAGTGCAATCAATGATTGCTTGTGTTGCAGTCGAAACGTGAGAATTTTGTTTTATATTTTTATTATTTTATTGTTTCCCTTCTACGTGACTTTACCGAAATAGTCCAGTCGTTTCACAGGGTGGTCCAGATGTCGTGTAACCCCCATTCGATTCTCTAAAACATTCTATTTTTAAAGGTTTATTTAAAACAGAAATGAATATGCAAAGGGGAAATAATGATAATCCACTTTGTTGAGCTGTTATTTTGTGGCCAATAGCCCAGTGGGCTTTACTTGGAAGATTTAAAATAGTTTTGTTTTATTTGTGTTTATTTTTAAAGTGAATTGTTTACCTTTCCTATACTTTGCACTCTTGTATTGTTTGTTATTATAACGTCTTGACCCGCCCTTCCTGGACACCTGTGAAAAAGAGCTTCATAGCTCATCGGATTCCTCCACTGTAAATATTTTTATTCCGCTCCCATCACGTGGCCACCACGCCTCCTTCCTCAGCACCACATCTGCTGCATTAGACTCTCTGAATCACATTTACAGTAGCCTTGATAATAAGCAGTACTGCGCCTGTCTTTTTCTTGACTTGTCCAAAGCTTTTGATACAGTAGACCACAACATCCTGCTTAGTAAAATAAGTTGCCTCGGTTTTTCCGAAAACACAGTAAAATGGTTAAAAAATTACCTCTTTTCTCGCACCCAAACTGTATTCACAGATGGTTGGAGGTCAAACAGTGTTAAGATAACAAAAGGGGTTCCACAGGGTTCCATTCTCGGCCCCCTCTTGTTCTCTCTTTATGTAAATGACTTGGGCACTGAACTGGATTATTCCAGGGTAAATCTTTTTGCAGATGACACGGTACTAATTACTGCTGGCCGCTCTCCGGATGACGTGATTGCTAAGCTCCAGAGTGATTTCAACAAACTACAACATCAGCTAGTTGATCTTAAACTAGTCCTAAATCCTGCCAAAACCAAGGTGCTATGCTTCTCACCAGGACTAAAGCGGGAAGTTATTTTTCCCCAATTACATACCTTAAATAATGATCAAATAGAGCAAGTCAAGATCTATAAATATCTTGGGGTCATCCTGGATTCAAAACTGAATTTTGAAGATCACATTGATTATATTGGGAAAAAGACAAAAATTAAAATTGGTTTTCTATATCGACACAAGCACTGCTTCCCCCCTATGTTCCGTTTGGAATTGATTAAAGCTACCGTACTGCCTCTACTTGATTACTGTGACATTGTGTATAAATCAGCCCCAAGTACTGTACTGAAGAAGCTTGACTCAATGTATCACTCGGCCTTAAGATTTGCATTGAACTGCCCATATAGGACTCACCACTGTGATCTCTACATTGGGTCAAACTTAACATCTCTGAATGTTCGACGGCTTGTGCACCAGATCTTATTTATTCATGATGTACTTGCAAAAAAATCTGCAGATTACCTGCTGGATCTCGTCTCTGTTTCAAAGAACAAATTTGACCTAAGGTCTACACTCATTTACCAGCTTAATATTCCCTATTGCCGTACATATACTGGAGGAAGGGCCTTTGCTATTGATGCCCCCAGGGTCTGGAATGCTGTTGCAAATAAATTGAAACTTGAGTCACTACCTATGAGATCTTCACTCAAAACTGCTTTAGAGGAGTTGTACACCCCTAGCTGCCAGTGCTATTCAGTGACCTAAAATAAAATGTTTCGCTCCGGATGATCGCTACAAAGTATGACCTGTGTTTTGATTTAGTGTGCTGATCTTAAAGGTGCATTGAAAAATTACAATACTCCGATTGATGCTCCTGCTGTTGTGGAGTGACTCATGCAGCCAGCTATGGCTGCAGGGTTTTGGTAGTACATGTTGTTTATGCCATTTATTGTGAAAATTCCGTCAGTTCCTATGATTGCTTTTTCATTGCCTTCATGGCTTTATTTTGGTGATTTCGAAAAGTGTATTGGTTTAGCCATGTTTGTGTTGTTGTAGTACAGAGTTAGACTGATGGCCTTAATCTAAGTTGTCTTGTGGTTGTTGTTGTTGTTTGACTTGCATCCCACTGGGATTTTTGCACACAGCGTTGGTGTACGGTGTTTTTTCTGCAATATTTTTGCTGTCTTTTCTTGGATTTTCTGTTTGCACTTAGTCACATATTCACTTTAAGATGTTTTTTTGTTCATGTTTTTGTTTTTTGTTTGTTGCGGTTGCACCCGATTCAAGAGCTGAATGGCTCACAGGGCTATACCTAATAAATGAACTTGAACTTGAACTTCCTTTACCAAGATGGACGGCAAACTCGCTCGCGTGACGTCACAAGCAATTAAAAAAACCCCACGCGTGGCGTGACATGACGTCATCCTTCCTGAACAACTTCACAACGGAGACCTGGATTTCTCCACTGCAAATATTTTGATTCCGCTCCCATCACGTGGCCACCACGCCTCCTTCCTTTACCAAAATGGCCGGCAAACTCGCTCGTGTGACGTCACAAGGACTTTTTAAAAACCCACGCGTGACATGACGTCATCCTTCCTGAACCACTTCAACAACGGAGATCTGGATTCCTCCACTGTAAATATTTTGAATCTGCTCCCATCACGTGACCACCACGTCTCCTTCCTTTACCAAGATGGACGGCAAACTCGCGCGCGTGACGTCACAAGGGCTTTTTTAAAATAAAACCCCACGCGTGACATGACGTCATCCTTCCTGAACCACTTCAACAACGGAGACCTGGGCCGCGCCATTGACACCGCCGTCCTTCACCACCAACAACAGCAGCAAATGTCGTTGAAGCTCACGCCGGAGAACTTGAGGAAAGGCCTCGCCGTGATGTACGCGTTCGGCACGTGGACGCTGCTGGGCGGCATGGCCTTCGTGTACTGGGGCGGCAACAAAGACGAGCCAAGCGCGCTGACGCCGACGTATCAAGGTCAGTTGCAGACCATCATCATCATCACCACCACCACCATCATCATCACCACCACCACCACCATCATCACCACCACCACCATCATCATCACCACCACCACCATCATCATCATCATCACCACCACCATCATCATCATCACCACCACCACCATCATCATCATCACCACCATCATCACCACCACCATCATCATCATCACCACCACCACCATCATCATCATCACCATCATCATCACCACCACCACGATAATTAAACCGTGGGCATTCCGCTGCCGGACGAAGGCCCCCTTCCTCTCCATGCCGCCGCCGCAGCAGCCTCTTGCGATCCAGCCACGTTGCCG